CTACTGTCCCTTTTCCTCTCTGTCTGTCTCTAGCTGTGAGCGGCTGGAGGTCCCTCTGCATTGTGACCTCCTTCGCCATTTGCTAAAGGAGGGGATAGATGTATTGAGGGATGACCAAGCAAATCCCCAGCTGGTCCAGGGAAGCCGGAGGGACCTCACAGCAGATCAGGGTACAGACAGCATCTTCCTGGGATCCAGCATCTCCATCACCCTCAGGGCTGAGCAGGCCAGGACCCAGAGGACCTCAGGGCCCCTTCAGGAATTATGGGTATACTTCTTCAGCACACAGGTCTGTCTTTTTATTTTTTTATCTTTATTGTTGAGCACAGGGCTTCCCTCTCCTTTTTAAAAACATTCTCCCCCTTCCCTTGTTGGGATTGCCCCGGTTTGAAGTATTTTTCTCTACAAATAGAGTAAATCCTTGAAATGGAGCAGAGTCCACTACAATGCGACCACGCCGTGGCTTCTGTCCTACACCTGGGGCCCATCTCAGACAAAGGGGGCAAACTTTTACCTAAAGGGCTGACTGCCTCGTGCTCCTTTAGAACCTTCTCAGTTTGGTCTGTGGCATGTGGTAAGTGACATTTCACAATCTTGACTTTTGTGCCTTTTGTGAGAGAACAGACCCACTGAAATCTATTGTTTTTCATTGATCCTGTAATATCATAACCTCACATTTTACATGATTGAATACTTTGGACTCTGCTTATTGCCTTCTGGTGGAATTTTACTATATTAAGCACCTATTGTATGCCATGGTACTGTGCTAGGTTTATGGCAACGGACAACACTGTCATGGTCTCTGTTCTCATGGAACTTTCTTTTTCACAGAGAAAATGGACAACAAGCCAATAAAATAATTGCAATCTGAGATAAGAGCTATGAAGAAATCAAAGGACTGGAACAGAAAATAACAGAGGGTCCCACTTGAGGTGGTTGGGGGAACCTTTTCTAAAGAGGTGACATTTGAAGTGAAGAAGGTGAGACATAGAGAACTGAAGGGAAAGCATTCTAGATGTCAGAAACAGCACGTGCAAAGGCCCTGAGGTAGGGCCGGAAAATACTTAATTTTAAGTTGGATCCAGGAGTCCTGAACAAGAAGAAAATGGGGAAGAGGGGAGCCCTAGAGCCAATGCTCAAAGCTGAGGCCTAAACTACAAATTAAAATTTGCTGTGGCTCAGTCAGCTCTAGACTGTCCTGTCTCAGGAGCTACGAGTGTCTGTACCACACATAGGATGAGGATGGCTCAAGGCCATGACAGCTCATTGGAAAGCATGGAGAACCTGCCTGAATCTCAGAGACAGTGCAGGCTGCAGGACTGATGGCTGGGAGTAGATGAGCTTAAGCACCTTTTTTTCCCCTCTCCCTAAAAATGTGGGGTCCGGCCTAGGCCCCCCTTCAGTCATTCAGTAATGGTTGGTTGAGGCCTACTCTGTGCCAAGCACTGAACATGGCACTGGGGTACAACAGTGAACAAGACAGATAAACCCTTGCCCTCAAGGAGCTCATATCTCAGTAGGGGAAGCACAAAACAACAAAACAAAACAATAAAACCTGCCCAAAACAAACTCAGTGTTTTAGAGGAGTAGGCATTCGGGGAGCTCTCCCTTCCTGAATAGGAGCCCTAAGATTTGGGCTGCTCCATTAGTCCTTTTCCCGTGGATTCTACTCTGAGACCAGAGTGCTTTGGCCCTTGGGTCTTCTTTCTCACTGGTGAGAATTTAAAGAGAAGCACACATGTATGCACATGGGGGCTCGCACACATATGCCCCTCCCCTTTCAAGGGCTGTTAAAGGCCCACACACAGACATAGGAACACCCAAACGCACATACTTCTCTAATCTCCTTAAGTCCTCCCAAGCCTGGGGGTGGGGGTGGGGGTGGGGGTGAAGAGAGAAGCCAGGAGAAGCCAGGCTGGGGGCCTGGGCAGCAGTGCTCAGGCTTAGCCCCACACCTCCCTTCTCCTGGGCTGGTCCCTGGGTTTGGTCATTCCCATACCTAGCCTCCCCAGCTGCTGGGAGGTAAATGAGTGTGCTGGGCAAACATCCTCCAAGCTTCCTGCTGCTCCCCTCTGAGACAACAGAACTTCTCTTCCTCCTTCTCCTCCCACCCCCCAACACCTTCCCAGCTGGGCCTTCTCTGGGATCCAAAGCCCTTTTCCCCTGGAGAAATCAGAGTCACCCCTTCCCCTTAGCCAGAGGAACGAGGCAAGAAGCACCCAGAACCAGTGTCTCTATCTGGAGGTATGACCTGTTCTCCCGCTGGTCCTTTATCCCAGTTCTCTGAGCACCAGACCCTTTCTCATACTTGCCCAGGGGCTGACCACAGGGCACGGGGAAGAGGGCTCGAGGGCGGCCACCTCAGGAACCGTGGAGGATATGGGAGGAGAAGCCCCACATCTGGCAGGAAGGGCAGCCCCTTCCGAGGGGTGTCTCTGAGAATCACATAGACAAGACTGCATGACAGGATCTTCACAAAAGAAAAAATAAAGCTCCCTCCCCTGCCACCTTCCCAGCACACTGGACTTGACCGCATGCTCATTCTCCCGTAGTAGTGTGCAGGGTGAGCATACCTTCTGATGTTTGCTTTTTGCATGGAGCGACGGAGCACATACACTTTCCGCATGGCTTTATGGCCTTTATCTGCATTTTAAAGGATAGTGTATATCCTGCTCTCCATCTTCCAGACTGAGAAGCATGCAGACTCCATCCCTTCCCATCCTTAACCCTGGAAACATTTCCCTATCCTCATGCAGCATGAAGCAGGAGTTGGTATGGAGTTTCAGCTGAAAGGGACCGTAGACACTTAAATGGAGGCACCAGAGAGGGTCACACAACTCCTACCTGAATAGTTCTTACTGTCACTCTATCAAGTTTCTGGAGCAAGTTAACCATGGAAACTTACCTGCCAGGCAGAGTCCTGATTCATCTTTAATTAAATCTGTCACTGAATCTCTACAATTACACTATGGCGAAGGTTCTGTATCTCCATTTTTTCAGGTGAGGAAACCAGAGCATAGCTGGCTGGTGGCAGAAGCACAGCTAGAACCAAATTCCATGATTCCCAGCACTGGAATTCGTTTTCCTCTCCTCTCAGCAATCCTTTCCTTGGCCCTGCCTCTCCTGGCCTGGCCTAGGACCGAGGTCAAGAGCTTTTCTAGCAGGGCTTTCCCTCCCCAGTCCTAGTGCTGGATACCACTGTCTGATCGTGCCTCCTTTCCTGCGCTGGACCAAGGCCCAGATGAGCAGCTGGGGAGGCAAGGCTGAATGGAGCAGCAGGAAGAGGCTGTAGGCGGCAGAGTTCATTCAGAAGAAAAGCCCAACTCAGCTGCTGAGGGCTCCGAGGGAACCTCACAGAGGGGCTCTACCACCTCCCTTGGCTACAAGGGTGCAAACAACAACCCCCTCCCTCTGACCAGTATCTGTTACCAACTCCAAGAGAGGTGTGTGGACCCCCAGCTGTCTGCTACTTTATTCCTAGGATCTGTGTCAGACCATCCTTAGAAAAACTTGATCCAACCTGTGCCCATTTTATAGACGAAGAAACCGAGGCCCAGGGAGGGGAGCTGGTGGTGTGGCCCAGGTTCACAGGGGGAGGCAGAAGCAAAGGCAGGACTAGAACCCAGGTCTCCCCCACTACAGGTTCAAGTCCTCTCTCCTCCTCCACTTGGCCTCCCTGCCCAAGAGTGCGCCCCCTGACTAGGACCAGGAGCCTTCCGCAGAGGGCAGGGCGACCCAGCTCCGCTGCCGAATGAAGGTTGGGGAGACCTCAACCCCATGCCTCCCAGGCTCAGGTTCCTGCCCCTTGGCTGGTTTTGCGACCATCAGTCTAGCAGCCAGGGGCAGTGTGCCGGTGGAAGTCTAAGATGCCCAACCCTTTACATTTCTATGCCCTTGGCTTTTGTCTGGCCAAGTAAATCTTAGTCCCAGCAGGTAGAGGCCAGGAAGTAGAGGCCCTGGGATGATCTCTGGGTGTGTGTGTGTGCCTGTGTGTGCACACACACGTGTGCAGAATAGACTGGAGGTTCACTACACGGGGGGCATACTACCAGATTCTCCAAGCTGCCCACATTTTAACCGGGAAGGTTCTTCGGAACCCACATATTTTTTTCCTGTTACTGAGCCCACACCCCTCCCCCACAGCAGGGCCTTTGGGCTGAGCCTGAACGAGGGCGGGAGGGAGGGAGGGAGAGAGAGAAGCCACGTTTCCTTAGGATGGGAGGGGAAGAGAGAAAAGGGAGAAAAAGGAGAAAAAAGAGAAAAAGGACAAGCCCAGACACAGACAGTCGAGAGAGGAGAGAGAGAGAGAGAGAGAGAGAGAGAGAGAGAGAGAGAGAAAGTCAGCGAGAGGTGAGAGAGAAACAGACCTAGAGACACAGAGATGGGGAGAAAGACCTCTCTCTCTCTTTCTGGGCGATCGATCGCCCTGTGCTGCTCTGACCAGCGGAACGTCAGGTCCCTTCCTGGGGGCATCGCGTTCCTGACTCTGGGGCGGCAGCGCCCCGAGGTGTCCGGGTCTGGCTCAGAACCCGAGTCTGGATCAGGGGGCGTCGAGTCTCTGACCCCTCGAGCGCTCCCCTGTGCGCCTCCCAGCGGAGAACCAGCCGCGGGTCCACTTTGCGCGCAATCTGGTCCTGGAACCCCGGGCGGGAGCAGGATTTGTGCCTTTTAGGCTCACCTCGGGGAGTCGGGTGGCGCCGACGTCCCCTTCCCCAGGAGGCGGAGGCCAGTGTATTCACCGACGGAGCCCCCAGGAGGGGCGCGTCCTGGCGCGAGCTCTGAGGCTCCGGTCCAGGCGCGGCACAGGGAGGTGCTGCGGGACCTCGCCACCGAATCCAGAGCTCTCAGCACGTGCCCCTCGGGGGCCCCTGCTCCAGCCCCATCCTCCGCTCTGCCCAGCGATGTGTAGCCCCGTCTGGGCGGGGGTTGTGGGGGGGGGGGAGGCGAGCGGCGCAGAGGGGTGCGGAGTGTGGAAGGGGCGCGCAGACCCTGCGCCTTACCGCATTGTTGAGGAAATCCGACTCGTTCAGGTCCCCCAAGTCCAGGAAGCTGGATCCGGGGAACAGTCTGTCCGCCGGGAAGGGCTCCAAGACGGCGTCCATCGCGGCGGGCTCCGGGGACCCCTGGGGCTGGCTTCCCTCACTCCAGGGCGGCGGCGCGCCCGGCCCAGAGCTCGTGCTGGAGGCTGGCGGGCGCGCGGGGGCAGGTCCGGGGCTCACCCCGCGGGCGGGGCGGGCGGGGGCGGCGCGGCCCCGGGCAGGGGGCGCGGGGGGCGCGGGGGACCTAGGGCGCGCGGAAGGCAGGGTTCCGGGGCGCCGGGCGCACCGCGGGCATTTAGCCGACTCCTCTTCCTCCGGCTCCTCCGGGGGCACAGCTGGCTTCCATGGGGAGCCCGGGAGCGGGGCTGAGGGCTTGGGGAGCCCCCCGGACTGGGTGGGAGCCGGGGGCGGGGGAGCGGAGCGCTCCCCCGAGACTGGTGGCTGTCGGGCGCCCTGCTCTCTCCGCGTCTCCCTCGGCTGGGCTTCTGTCACTTTCCTCCGCGAAACCGGGAACCCCTGGCTGGTGACACAGCTGGCCAATCCGCCACGCCCCCGCATCAATATTCACGATAATTTCATAGTCATGAGGAGGGCGCGGCCTGGGGAGCCGTCCCGCCTCTTTTAAAGAGACAAGCTGGTTTTCTTGGCCAACCTCTGTTCTCGGATGGCTCTCAAAACAGAGGCCTAAAGCGAAGTCTCTTGGAGCCAATAACGAACGGTGGTCCTGGAGCCTCGGCACCGTGTAAGGCGTCGCTAACCACTCTCCCACACGCTCACGAGGAAGCCGAGTTATTTCCATCCTCCCCCCCCCCCCCCCCCCCGACTCCCCGCTAGAACCTGAGCCAAGTGCACGGCAGGGAAGCCCACCTCACAGGCCCCTTCACAGATCTCTCAGTGGGCAGGTTGCTCTCGTCTCCTCCCCCAGGAAGCCTTCTTTGACCCCCAGGCTGAAGCATTTACCACCATTACACTCGCAGGACACCGTGTGCTTTTCTCCAGGGGATGCGTATAATGTGCTACTGTCATTGTTTGTTCTGTGTCTATCACCCTAACTGGACTCTGAATCCCTCAGGGCAAGGACTGTCTCTACCTTTCCTGTGGGGGGACGCGGGGGGGGGGGGGGGGGGGGAAGGACCAGGTGACCAGCAGAGATGCAGCAAGGACCCCTCTTCTCATCCATCCTCAAATTCCCCTAATGCAGCAGTTCTCAACCTGTGGGTCGCGACCCCTTTGGCGGTCCAACGACCCTTTCCCAGGGGTCGCCTAAGACCATCCTGCATATCAGATATTTACATTACGATTCATAACAGTAGCAACATTACAGTTATGAAGTAGCAACGAAAATAATTTTATGGTTGGGTCACAGCATGAGGAACTGTATTTAAAGGGCCAGAAGGTTGAGAACCACTGCGCCTAATGGTTCGGAAGAGCAGGACGTGGAGCACAGTGGCCATGGAGTCTGCGTGAGCCCAGACGCTGGCTGGCAGCACGCCCCATGGCCACGGGACACTCCCAGGCCCCCTGGATCTGTGACCTAAGTGTCCCGCTCAGAGTACAGCTTAATCTCTTGAAAGGGCTGATAAACAATCAGCGGGCACCTGAGCAAATGGAGGTGGTTCCGAAAGGCACTCCCACCAAGGGCGGGGCACACGGTTCCTGAGCAGAAGTCATTAATGGGATTAAGTGTGTCCTTGCTGTCTGGGGCTTCTAATTAGCTCAGGAACCAAAAGGTCTTTAAGAGGCAGAGATGTCATTGCCGCTAAGTCAGGGGTGTCACTGGAATGACTCAGTGCCTGGGAGAGGGCACAGGTTGAGGCTGAGATGGCAGCGGTCTGCTTGCCTGGGGTGGGCGGACAGGCGTGTGGCTTTCCCCCCATCTCCTGACCCGGTTGACATAGTTCTGGAGAATGAAGTTCTGCCTCTCTAGGCTGTCACATGGCTGTTGGCTCTCAGGCCTCCTGGAGAGTTTGTTCCTGAGGAGCTGGGAAGAGAGCCCGCGCTGTGTGGACCAGTTCACCGGCAAGGCCACTCTGAGAAGTTAGGCTGAGCCCCAAGGAAATCGTAACAGTGGCAGGTAGAATTAGGGTGCTGAGACCCTAGGTGCTTTTTTTCAAATGTGTTATATCTGGGCAACAGTGGTCTCTGTGAACAAGCCAGCCTGTGGTGAGTGAGCTTGTGCCAGCAGGTGTCTGGATTCCTGGCTCCTGAGCTGGAGTCCCCGCGGGCCCCCAGGAGGAACAAAAGTGCCCCTCTGCCCGAGGTTGGCTAGAGACTGTGCCTGTGTTCCTCCCAGCCTGCTCTGTAATTACAGGCACAGGCACCATTTAAGTGATTGGGGAAGATTATACAGTTTTAGAGAAATAGGATTAGAGTGTCCTCTCTTTCCTGATTCTTACCCAGGTGAACACCCCAGGAACCATTGAAAATAATCCCGGGGAGACATTCTGGTTCCAGCACCTCCTGTGGAGTCTGAGAGGCAGGATCTTCAAGAACAATCCTGGGGGGGAGGGAGTGGGGTGGGCAGGAAGAGGGACTAGGCAGTGCGGAGCCTGGCATGGGGTAGGAGCATGATCATTGTTTTTCTAGGATGAGGGGATGGCAAAGTCCAGCAAAGAAGAGAATGCAGAGGATTTACCCACATAGCCTACAGGTACTAATGAGCACCTATGGTCAGTTCCTGGCCAGACACTAGAGACAGACACGGTGGTGATTGAGAAGGTGCATTCCAGAATGAGTGAAGAAAACCTGCGTGGGACTTTAAGATGATGATCTGAAAGAGTGATAAGGACTACGAAGGAGATACAATAGTGTGATATGGCTGTGTGAGCAAGGAAGGCCTTTCTGAAAAACGTGACATGTGAGCTGAGAACGGAATCATGAACTGGAATCATTTATGGGGTAAAATGGAGGGAAAAGCATTGAGGGCAGAGGGAACAGCAAATAGAAGAAAGAGAGAAAGAAAGACTGGAAGGGGCATGAGAGCAAGATGATGCATGTAATACCCCATGCTCCGCACAGACCCAGTAGTTATGGTCATACCGAAGCTCGAGGCTCTATTCTATGTATGTGCAGAAAAGAATTGTGCTAGTTCAGGTTAGAGGACCCACCTGAAGCCTTCTGTAGCAGCGCCTCCCTTCCATATTGTCTCTTAAAGATTTCCCAGGAGAGGAAATTAGACAGTGAAGTGAGGTGTCAACAGGGAGGGTCTGCTCCCTCTCCAGTCCTGGGCCTGGTCCCACAACCCAGCCCCCCTCGAGCCAGTTCTCTACATCCGAAGGGCAGGGGAAGGAGGTCAAGATTGGTTCTGCAAACACCCCAAACACTCCAGGTCAAGAACAGCACAGACTGTGGCCCCTCCTCTATGGGCTCCAGGAACATCTGGTTGTTGCTCACCAGCAGCTGCTCCAGCTGTGAAGCGAAATGCATAGACATCCCAACCCAGGCAGTGACGCACAGGAGACAAGGACAGAGATAAGCTTCCTGTCAGTCCCAGACGTAAGGGCAGGGTAGAGAGAAGGGCTCCTGCCAGGCGAAGTTGTGAACAGGGCTGGTGCTGGTGTTTGTGAGGTGTGTGTGTGTGTGTGGGGGGGGGGGGGGCGCGGTGCTTGGTGGGGACTACCACATTTTGATACCCCTGGATAGTCACTGTCCTTCTCTGTGTCTCAATTTTCACATCTATAAAAGGGGAGAGTGTTAATGATCCCTAGGGTCCTGTCCTCTCTGAGGACCTTCCAAATGTGCCCTTCCCAGGAGAGCCCGTGGCGGGGAATTGGGGGTCAAGGACCTGCCTCCTCAGGAGGCCCGGCACTCCCATTGTACAGCTTCCCCTCCGGAGCCTCCATTAGGGTGCAAGGGTGGATGTTTACACTCGGCAGGCAGGCCCTGGGTGGTGGTGAGAAGGTCACCCAAAGTAAACCTGCCTTGTTTGTCTGGCTTGTAGAGGGAAAAAGGCTTTGGCACACTCTAACAGGAACTTCTGCGAAAAGAAAACATATCCATCCTGGAGATTAGGCTGACTTCCGGGGCACAGATGGGCTCTTTGTTCTTTTGTGGCTTCCTAAAATGGCCTGAGGGCTGCTCTCCCTGTACCCCCTCCAACTGGGGCTAAACATGCAGTCCCTGGGGTGGCACCTTGCCAGAAGGGTGCAGGTGGGCTTCTCACACATCTTCATCCCTTTGGCCTGTGGTTCTTCCCCCCAGCTCCACCATGAACCATAAGAAAATCTGACATTTATTGAGTACTTGCTCTGTGCCAGGCAGTAAAGAACTTATACGATCTGGTTTAATTCTTGGAACAAGCTTGTGAGATAAGTACCATATTCACTGATTCCGAGATGCCCATTTTAATGTCTCTGACATCAGAATGTGTCTCACAATCAATGATACGTTATTGTCGAACGGACAGCGTTCTTTCCTTCTTAATGTACATAAAAGAAGGGAGCATCGTACAGTTGAAGGCATCTTAGACTCAGTGGAACGCGGTATTATCATCATCCCCAATCTGCAGCTAAGAAAACCGAGGCTCAGAGAGTGTAGGACTTACCACTCCTTCATTTCACAGGAAACCAAGGCCTAGGGCCATAGGAGGCTTGACTTAGGTTGCCCAACTGTGATGGGCACAGATAACTCTGAAATCCAGGCCTGCGGGCTCCTCACTCAGGGCCCTTTCCACTCACCCCAGATGAACTGCGTGTTCTCACTAGGGAGAGGCAGGAGCGAAGGGGAGGGCGGTGCAGGGCCTTCCTTAGCAGCCAGTGAATCACCAGCCACCTTGCCTGGAGAAGGGCCTTAAAGATAGATTTCTTTCCCCCCTGCACATTCTCTGAAGACCAAAGTTCCTTAAGGACGAAGAAAATATTTGCCTCCCTTCCAGCTCCTTTTCCTGGTAATTATTTTAGCTTCTCTTCCCCTGAATTTCTGCTCTACTGTCCCATCTTTGGACAGGAGGCTGGTCCGCCCCTTGGCACTGCCTGCCTGCCGCCTGGGGAACAGCCCCGCCCGCTTCCTGCTTTGCTCTCAGTCCTGCTCTGAACTCACCCTTTTTTTTCTACCTCAAACCACCTGCACCAACACTACTTCTAGATGCCTCTATACCCCAGGCCACTGGCTCCCACCCTGAAGTCATACACTCAGACATACAGCCCTCCATCCCCCTTGCTCTCTATGCATAAAGTCAAAGG